CCCACCATCAAATTCTGGAATACTCGAGGATCAAGAACACTTAATTTCTTCTGTGAGAATAGACCGGAAATCACATTTTCTACATTTGAAGGTACAGTTTCTTAGGACAGTGCGCGACGCACAACTCACAACGTAAACGTCAGCAGAATCTATTCAGCACGATGTTGACACACTGCTGACGCTGTATGTCGCGCTCACCTGCGCAAAGCCAACAAACCGGTCTATATAACTTAGACTCGGTTGATTTTAGCAGGCGTGCGTCGCGTTCGACAGAATGTGAGTTGTGCGGTGCGCAATGCCCTAACAACCCGTACCTTGAAATCGACGAAAAAATTAGCTCACTACCACAGTCTAAATCGCAAGCATTCCATAGAGGTCTGCGGGTGACGTCATTACTATAAGCTGCTGATAGTGATGTCACTCGCAGTACAGAGTTGGATGGAGAGAGACTAAGGGAAGTATGACACAATTGACGCATCAAATAGCTCAGACTAATCAGATTATGTTCGATTATCCTCGCGAAAAATTGCCTATTAATTGTATAAGCATTCTAAGAGCAAAATATGAATATATTATGTTTCCTAGGTGAAAAAGCTATTCTGTTCTCGAAACGCCGAGATATTTGGTGAATTATTAGCACGTAGCATGTCATCAGGGGGACTATTTATACAGGGGTGGTAAAAAGTACCGGAAAAGTTGAATCTCTTCCAAACCCGCTTAAAAAACCTGCATTCTCAAATTTATTTATCTGGGTTTTTCCGGAGATACAAAATTAAATGATTCAATGATATCGGCGCTGCTGTCAGATCTACCAGCTTTACCCTACATCATTGTTCAATTTTGTTTGCCCAGAAACCTCCAGATAATGAAATCTGGGAAAGCAGCATAAGTGGGCTTAAAGAGATTCAACGGTTCCGGTACTTTTTACCACCCCTGTATATAAGTAGCCCCCTTATGACATGGTACGTGCTAATAATTCACCAAATATCTCGACGTCGCGAGAACAGAATAGCTTTTCTACCTAGGAAACATAATATAATCATATTTTGCTCTCAGAATGGTTATACAATAAAGCGGAAAAAAAATTGGTGCCATATCAATTAACAAATAGAACTGTGCCCCCTATAAATCGCAGTTCATGTTACGTGTTACGACGCGTGCTATATTTAGTTACTTTGAGACCCAATTATCCACATACAATTATCTTTACGGACCTCCCAATAATGAGTTATAAAAACTTAATTTTTTTTTCACCCTGTATAAAATCTTCTCAATACCAAAAAAGACGAAAACGTTGAACCAACAATAATGAAAAAAATTGTTTTGAGTAACTGAAACGAAGAATCAGGGTGATAAAAGTCGTTTTTCAGTTAAACTGAAATTTCTGCGAAACTACGAGATTTATTCAAAAATTCTTCAAGTTGTTTTTTACCATTGAACTACTGATTCTTCTTGAACCCAGAAAAAAAGCAGGAGTATGTTTGAAAAGAAATGGCGACACCCTGAAATTTGTCAGGCTTTGCACTGTTTTATTGTCCACCCTGTATGTTGAAGATAACGTTTCTGGTTATCAGTACGATACCATATACCTTGGACACCAGACAATGCGCCCCAATATGCTTCAAACCGCAATCAAATATCTCTTATACTTTCTGAGATATTTGACTTCAAAAATAGGCAAAAAATTTCTTTATGCGTATCGAAGTTCCAGCAGTTTAGTTCTCTGCCCTTAATACCTTAAGTAACAATTATTTAAACCAAATGTAATGATATTATACCACAGAAAGTTATACACCTTTGGACTTGAAGGCTAGAATGCGGAGCTGTAGCCATTTCAATTGAAACGCTGTGCTCGTGGAAGGGATACTTTTGTGTCAGTAAACTTACCTACCTACTGGAAAATAAGTTACAAAATAAAGTCTAATTTATTTTGCAAAATATTCGAAAATAAAAACAACTATGTATATAAATCCCAAACTTCGATCATCAACCAACAATCCAAATAGTTATCAATGTCATTAGGCCAAGACCTTCTGGGCCGAATCGCATGCAACATTTTATCTTCAAACGACTGCAATATCACCTTTCACAACTTAATTTTTTTTAGATTGTCTATTTACTATGTCAAAATGATAAAATGTCACTATACCTACTAATAGATGGCGCCACGGCCCTGATGAACGGAGCACTTTCCTTCCAATAGCGATTTCCATTTGTAGAATCAGTGCAAAAAAAAATGTATCCTTTTTCTTATAATTTAGATGGTTTTGGAAAAAGATGCGAATAATAATACCAGAACTACTTGAGATACAGGCACAAGCAAAATAAATAAATCTAACCTCAACGTCAGAACAAAAACTAATAGTTCGAAAATCATCCCAACTACTTCCGCCCACAGAGTATGAACCGATTGGATCAACATTGGGTAGTTCTCGAACACTTGAACTGTCAAACAACAATATTTAACAAAAAAAAAAAATAAAACGAACAAATTAGTGCCAATTATGAATAAAATTAGGTTCTTGAGAACCTATTTGTTGATGCTGCAAGAACATAATACCCCTGATTGACGTTGCTGCCTCTAGTGAGGAAAAATCGGACATTTTTCGATTTTTCTGGTCCTAGAAACAAATTACGCAACAGTCAAAAAGTTACGCACGAATAAAAGTTACGCACGAATAGCGCCGGCGAGTACCTACGTAATTCCATGAGGGCGTAATTGCTTTACTACTCGAGGTATGTACCACCCTTTTTCTAATATACAATGATGCCTATTCTAATGTCTGCCCAGCGAATCTGTGTCTACGGGGCAACGGTGAGGGGAATGCAGTTGTAAAAAAAATGGCTGATTTCATTCATAAAATACCCAGCTGCGTGCGGAACTTTTTGGAAGTGTTATCGTATTGCAACTCGTACACGAAAATTGACAATGACCAAACCTCCGCCACTGGATATTTCAATATAAATCGATATTCCAAGATGGGAGGATAAAATGACGTCAGGTCTGGCCAATAGCGAGACATAAGGTGACGTTGACTCATTGACAACCGTATGGTTTCCCATGGCAACGGCGATCCTGCCAAAAACTCCACCAATCAGGTTCATCCAGGCCGGATGCTTGCCAAATTGTCAAAAGCGGATGGTATATTTAGAAAATGTTTATTTTTTTACAATAGATCAAATTGAAGAAATCAGGAGAAATAAGAATAGATCTAACAACCACGTTAAAATATTTAGCGTTTTATTATTGTTATCAATATTTTGTTATTAAAAAATGGATTTTCAAATGAACTATACTTCATGTCTAGTATTTTCGCTTTTTTATAATTAAACTTGGCAATATGGCGCATTTACATCCGAATTCCTGCCGTAGACTCAGATCCGCTGGGCAAACAATATATATTCACTGCTTGCACAAGTGAAGTGGGGCTCTGGCAATTTTATTGAAATACATACAGTGTGTTTTACGAACATCGAAACAGAGGCGTTTCAGGGTATTTTAAGGTCGATTTAAAAAAAAAAAAAACGTTCGGACACGTCATTTTTGCTTGTATTCAAGGGAATTTTTTTTTGACCCTATCGGTATATCACTAGGGTGCACCCCCTGGGTGGGGTGACTTTTACCCCTCTTTTTTATATAGGGAAGATGGGCCGAGTGGTACCTTGTTTGTAAATTTATTTTGATTATCGTCAAAACTGCGTATTCTTTTCGAAAATCGAATGGTTAGTTCTCAAGATATTCATTGTGAAAGTTGCCATGGGCTAAATAAGAAACAATTTTCTGGCCCTGTTATTCTCAAATGAACACTTTTCTGACTTTCTCTTGGACACGTCAATTTACATTTCTTCAGAAGCACAAGAAAAATCAGGAAAGTGGTTATTTGAGAATAACAGGGACAGAAGTTTTTTTCTTATTTAGCCCATGACAACTTTGATAGTGAATATCTTGAGAACTAGTTATTCGATTTTCAAAAACAAATACGCAATCAAAATAACTTTGAAACAAGGTACCACTCAACCCATCTTTCCTATCTAAAAAAGAGGGGTGCACCCTAGCGAAATACCGATGGGGTCAAAAAGTTTCTCCTTTCCCCCTTGAATACAAAAACGACGTGTTCGTTTTTTTTATATCGACCTTAAAATACCCTAAAACGCCTATGTTTCGATGTTCGTGAAACACCCTGTATATTCAGTATTTGTTTTTTTTTTTTCAGGGCAGGGGGGTTTTTTGAACTGTGCTTTAGTATTTAATTTAATAAATTTAACACCTGTTTTGGCATGGCACGATAAAATTAATGGGACTAGCTGAATACACCGACATTTTTCAATAGCTTGAAATTAAACCATCAAAGGTCATTCATCACAGGTATTCACTCGCTAGCTACCGAGCATTATAATATTGACAGCATGCATGGTTATTTATGGATTCTCTGATGAATAATATAACAATTAGATATATTTTTCAGATTATCTACTCTATATTACTCGAGTAAATGGAAATGTGCCGGAATGGGAACTATAGTGTGTGCGTAGAGAAAAAAAGTGTTTATACATAGTCGCACTCTTTCGGCACATGCAGTAAACCCACTTTCTAGTTTTCAAATTCAATGTATTAGGTATAGAAATACCAATTAAGATATCTAGAATAGATAGAAACTGCAATGCGCTGAATCAAAATCTAAGTTGTGTACTCAATAATGCGAATGAGGAAATCCAGGGCGGCACTGAATGACTCGTGTTGGGAAGAATGTCTCCCACATGATGGTTGCTCCAGCCAAGCTACATTTCTATCGAGAATAATGAATCCAAATATTGTGTGCCAAAAATAGGAATAATTGAAAACTACCTATTTTGTGAAATTAATTGGTAATTTTCAAAAAATAATAAATCAATATGTTAATGCTTAAATTAAATGAAACATAGAATTATTCTTAAACCAATAACTATATTTGTGTTTAATCGAGTCAAATTTTCATCATTCCTAAAAATATTGTACACTTGGCCAAACATAAAACTGGTACAGGTAATTTATATTTTTCAAATTTGGGAAGTATGAGTCGGGCTTAAGAACAAAAAGTCTCTTCTGAAAACCTAGGTCAGACAGTTTTTGTCAAAGTCAAAGCTGAACAAAAGTAAATGCAAAATGTTTTTATGTTATGATTGGTTTAAATATGACACTACTTGACTATTTTTGTCATTGTTGAGGTGATAAAAAAGGTCGATTTACACAATACAACACAATAGGAAAATGCGTACCAGTTTTATGATTGGCCAAGTGTACAGTCATTTGAACAGACAAAAGACAAATAAAATTTCATTTCTAACTCCCCAAAAAACGTGGTAGTTTCCAATCAAATTGTTGATTCTGGTATTTTTGCATACGCGCCTAATAATACTCACGATTCTATTGTAACTTTAATTAATGTTAAGGCAGTTACTAAACTTTTAATTTGATACTTCAGCTCAAGTAAAATCTAAGGAACATATAAAAAGAAACAGTAAAAAAGCTTAATATAATTTCGAAATTTCTAGAACAGGTTCTATATCTAAGTAACGTTAACAATTTGGTCCACAAGACAATGGATGAACATAAATATTTAAAAAAAACACAAACATAATTAATCAAAGTTAAAAAACAAAAAGTCTCTTAAACACTAAACTATTACTAATTTGTTCGTTATCTCTAAGCTACTAAGGCACAATAAAAATGTCTATAAAAATAATACTTTCATTGATTTGGCTATTCCAATATGTACCTACTGATCAGTTGAGGAATAAATACAATACGTATTCGATTCATCTTTTTTGTTTATATCTGATATAAATAACATTTAGGTGGTTGCTGTAACTATAAAAATATGTAGCATTTAACAAATATTGCAAGCAGTGTCGCAAGTTGATTATTTGAAGAAATTTGGAAGTAGGCTGTGTGCATGTATAATGATAGCTAGGTTGAAGAAAGCTAATTTGTATTTCATTATTTTCTCTTAATTAGTGTAGCAAAGCGCTTTCAGTCTCAACCATCATCAGTGCTACCTGGAAAGCTATAGTCCACTAGTCACTCGTCTGGTATAGAAGAAGATTTCAAAGAAGAGGTCAAAATTGATAATTGGCTTCACAACAACAATAAGCTTATACAAAAATAGATATACAAAAATAGATATACCTAGTTATTGAACAGATTGGTGTGAAAAGGACTCATCGTAGTTTAAAAATAAAAATAAATACAGGTCCATGCACTATCGTTTGGTGAGAATATTCGACCATAATTTTGATCCCAGGATCAACTCCAAATAAGTAATATTTAATTTTTTTTTTAAAACAATAAACCGATCAGACTTCAACGCTTTGACGTACAAAAACTCTATCAAAATTTTCTAATAACGCTTAAATCAACCAGCAACATTATTTTCAGGCTTTTTTTCCGCACCATCTCCACAGCTATCCGAACTATTATTTGTCGTATCAATATTTAATTGATCGCTAGAATTCGAGTTTGAGTTTCCCTCAACCAGCTGCACTTTTGGAAGGATCATTTTAATTTCATTTAATCCATATTTTTCTGGAAATCTTTTACATGCTTCTCTACGCAAGTGAACATACCAACTTTGCTTCAAGTTGAATAAAGTTCCACAAAGTTGACATGCAAAGGGTGGGCCTAAAAAATATTAATCATTTGTTAGGTAGTATTACTTAGTTCCAGCAGGCAATCCCAAATGGTTTTGAACTGCTTCCGGCATTAGTAAATTATTAGTTTTTCAGGCTGTTCATTTGTACTGCTTTTCTTGCTTCAAGCAGATCTCAGTAGCTGATCGGCGTTCACTTGTCCCATAACTCCGATATGATGAAGCTCATAAAGAGCACAGCTCCTAGCAGATCTTCCTGATTTTTCGAGCAGGTAGCAAGTACAAATGAACAGCCTATATGATTCAATGTATGTTACAGTTAAATCAAATTCAATAATTACTTATCCTTTATCTGTAATGTATTGGAATTGCTAGTTAGAACAAAGTTGGCATTTTTCCAGGCATTATTTGCATATAATGGTCTATGCACCTGGTAATTGTTTTTTTTTTTTCATAAAACAGTTCACTCAGAAGGCAAAACCAAATTAGCGAGGGTCATAACCAGCCGCCATCTATGGTGATTTTAGCGTGAAGGGTTGTAGCCTAAATTCCAAAGTTGCTATATTTTTGGACAGCCCAGAAATCGGTGCTGTTTGCAGCGTTAGGTGTTGTATGTCAAAAATGACTTTCTGGATTCTCGATTTTTTGAGAAATTGTATTTTTTGCAATTCGTGGTGATTTCTTGACAAAAAAGGCATACTTGGATAATTTTGTTTTTTATTTTGTGACTTTCGACAGCGGAGAGCGGAGTTCTTAGCTTTGTCTCCAAAAAATTAATTTTTGAAAAAAGTCGAAAAGTTCATTTTCGTGCCCAGAATGGACTCTTTCGCTAAAATTTACGGAATTTAAGCATAAAATATTAAATGAGGGACTATTTTAGGAATATTTTCCAAAAAAAAGAATGAGATACTTAAACGAGTTTTCTACAGACACTTCAAAAATGGAAAAATTTTAAATCCTCAAAACGCGTCAGACGATAAGCGACATATATATAAACATCTTCTACCAATCAAATTTAAGAAGACTCCATCGACAAACCACTAACAGCTGTTCTCGTGGCCGCTGGCTTAAAGCTTTAGCTGCCCTGTTCCCAGTTATGACTAATAAATGTAGTGCGCCGTGAGAAAAAAAAAAAAAAACTGATTACAAAAAATAAATTTAAATTGTGTATTATAATGGCTGCGTTTATTTCACGCGTTGTATGCGATTGGATAAATAATGGGGATTAATAATCCTGAAACAAATACCCAGGATTAAGGAGTTTATCCGGAGTAGGTAGTTAATCCAATCCTTCAAATTGGCAGGAATTAAAATGGATTATCTCAAATGTGAAATAAACACCATAAATCTCGGATTTAAGAAGCTTGTTGCTAACTTCAAAGAAAAATGATATTTGTAATGTTTCTGAGGGTTGATGTTTAGTTTTATTTGAATATTTTTTGATGAAAACCAGGAGTGAGATAAAAAAATGTTTACCTTTTAATTGTTAATTAAAACTATTTTTCATTATGAAACTGAATAGGTGGAAATTAGTATTATTTGGTTCCCTATTTCTGCTTATTATGTATCAGCTGATTGCCTTTAATGAAGTTACACACAAACGACAAAAAGCAAATTGCGCTTGCGCTTTTAACAGGGCTTGGAAAAGATTAGCACTAATCTTAATCCATTTAACAGTTGTGAAATAAACGAATATGAATTAATTATCATTAATCCAATTAGTATCCGGATACAACGCGTGAAATAAACGAAGTCATTATTTCAAAAAAAAAAATATATTTCTCTCCTCTTTTTCAAACAAGCTAAAACAAAAGGAAATTGGTCAATAAAAAAAAAAGTTACAGCTCACAAAGTTCCAGTTTTTTTTGGACCAGCCATGAAAGTATAAAAATGTTCATTCATTTATCACAACAAATAAAAAAAAAACTCATCATTAACAAAACTTTGAAATTTTAAAAAAAAAAATTAGATTTTTTTACCTATATTTTATCAAATTGACCATTTCTTTTTTGTTTATTTTTTTCTGTTTTTTGTTTTTGTTTTTTTTTTTCTCTAAGTTACCATTGTTTGTTTTTTTTTATACTGTATAACCAAAAAAAAAATCATTTCTTTATTTTTTTATTTATTTTTAAAATTTTTTATTTCATTTATTTAACCTGAAAATATGTAGTTTATAGTTTAAATTAGTGATTTTCTTTGGAATTTTTGTACGTGTATTTTTTATTGTTTTTATGGTTCATATTTTGGACTAAAATTTTTATTTGTAATAATGTACCCATAATTGATTAATGATAGGATCTTTGCTTTGTCAATGTGTTTTTATTCAATAAAGCTTATTTTGATTTGATTTGATTTTACTCATGGGAAAATAAATGAAGGATTGTTAAATGTTCAATATTGTCCAACTGATAAACAGTCTTTTCATGGCATAACTGGATCTAGATTGACGTAGGAACAGGTATGTTCGGAGGTATAGAACATTGACGTCAGGAACAGTTACGATCGGATAAAACGTATATCCTAAACATACTCCCCGCCTTGGAAGGGCTGACTCTGTCAACTATTAATTTGAAGTGGACAGATCTTGGAGAAACATCTTTTTACTACACCATAACTAGTTTTTATTGATGCAACTCTAATAACACCATCAGATCCAGGATGCAGACAAACGATACGACCGAGTCTCCATTTAGTAAGCAAAGTATTATTTTCCTTAATAAGAACTAAACTGCCTTCTTTCAGAAAACCATGACTAGACTTCCATTTTTGTCTTTGCTGGAGCTCGAATATATAATCTCGTTCTCACCGTCTCCAGAAATGTTGACAAATCTTCTGAAGTAAGTGGAACCTGGTTAGGCGATTCTATTTATTCATCCCAAACTTTATTTAGGTTTTTTTTCTTGTCAAACATGCGGTAAATCCTACAAGGTTGCCAGATCTTTGTGGAGACATCAAAAGTTCGAGTGTCAGAAGAAACCAATGTTTAGTTGTCAGCTTTGCAGCTATAGAGCAAAACACAAAGCTAGTATCATAAAACATCTTTCTTCGGTTCACGCGAGTCTCATTTGTACCGAAATAATTTTGAAACCATAGTGATTGATTTAGCTCATAAGTACTTCATGAAAATTCATTACAATTTTTGACAGGAAACAGAAATGTTTCTAAATTTACACACTTTTTATTTCTTCTGGAAATTAATAATTTATTTTGAAACAATGTTTAATTGTATAAGCTGTTTTATACTATATAGAAATTATTATATATTGCACATTCTACTTAAATAGCTTATTAGTGATGGGTCATTGTTGTCTTTTTAATAATAAAATTATTTATTGTCTAATTTTAATATTTTTTTAGTTACCACTGTCAGGTACCAATGCCCAGGCTGCTTTAAGTCTTACACGTTAGTCAAAAACTTGAGGAGGCACATGTCGGTGGAATGCCAAAAAGAGAAACGTTTCAAGTGCGAATATTGCGGTAAAATGTTTTATTACAGAACCGACTTGAGGAATCACATGATTAGGGTGCATGATATTATAGCTGATCTAAGCTATATATCTTATAAATAATCTAATAATTTTAATATTGGGTTCCAAAAGCAGAATTTTAATTTTAGATTTAATTTTTTAGTTTGGGTTAGGTAAAATGTTTACCTTTTAATTGTTAATTAAAACTATTTTTCATTATGAAACTGAATAAGTGAAAATTAGTATTATTTGGTTCCCTAGTACCCAGCTGATTGCCTTTAATGAAGTTAGACACAAACGACAAAAAGCAAATTGCGCTTGCGCTTTTAACAAGGCTTGAGAAAAGATTAGCACTAATCTTAATCCATTTAACAGTTGTGAAATAAACGAATATGAATTAATTATCATTAATCCAATTAGTATCCGGATACAACGCGTGAAATAAACGAAGTCATTATTTCAAAAAAAATATATTTTTTTTTCCTCTTTTTCAAACAAGCTAAAACAAAAGGAAATTGGTCAATAAAAAAAAAGTTACAGCTCACAAAGTTCCAGTTCTTTTTGGACCAGCCATGAAAGTATAAAAATGTTCATTCATTTATCACAACAAATAAAAAAAAAAACTCATCATTAACAAAATTTTGAAATTTTAAAAAAAAATTTAGATTTTTTTTACCTATATTTTATCAAATTGACCATTTCTTTTTTGTTTATTTTTTCTGTTTTTGTTTTTTTTTTTTCTCTAAGTTACCATTGTTTGTTTTTTTTTATACTGTATAACCAAAAAAAAATCATTTCTTTATCTATTTATTTATTTTTTAAATTTTTTATTTCATTTATTTAACCTGAAAATATGTAGTTTATAGTTTAAATTAGTGATTTTCTTTGGAATTTTTGTACGTGTATTTTTTATTGTTTTTATGGTTCATATTTTGGACTAAAATTTTTTATTTGTAATAATGTACCCATAATTGATTAATGATAGGATCTTTGCTTTGTCAATGTGTTTTTATTCAATAAAGCTTATTTTGATTTGATTTGATTTTACTCATGTGAGAATAAATGAAGGATTGTTAAATGTTCAAGATTGTCCAACTGATAAACAGTCTTTTCATGGCATAACTCGATCTAGATTGACGTAGGAACAGGTATGTTCGGTGATATAGAATATTGACGTCAGGAACAGGTACGATCGGATAAAACGTATATCCTAAACATACTCCCCGCCTTGAAAGGGCTGACTCTGTCAACTATTAATTTGAAGTGGACAGATCTTGGAGAAACATCTTTTTACTACACCATAACTAGTTTTTATTGATGCAACTCTAATAACACCATCAGATCCAGGATGCAGACAAACGATACGACCGAGTCTCCATTTAGTAAGCAAAGTATTATTTTCCTTAATAAGAACTAAACTGCCTTCTTTCAGAAAACCATGACTAGACTTCCATTTTTGTCTTTGCTGGAGCTCGAATATATAATCTCGTTCTCACCGTCTCCAGAAATGTTGACAAATCTTCTGAAGTAAGTGGAACCTGGTTAGGCGATTCTATTTATTGGAC